CAAACGGGATCAGCTCTCTGGGAGGAATCTCTAATGTTTACCAGCCATAATAAGTAACGATTCTATTCTGCACAGTTCTATTTATAAACTCTGGATTTTTTTTACAGCATTAGCCCTTTTCTATACTGTAACAATGAAACGAATTGTCTTCATCTTGTCAATTTTACTGTGAAACAGTATTTAAACGGTTTCTTCAGGTGGAGGAGGGCTGCACAGATCTATTCTGCCCAATAGAAAACAAATGAGCCAAGGGAGAGAGCTCTGACCTTTAGAAGTCTTTGGTTTCTAGTGGATCTATATTTCATCCATTAATTTTGGGAGGTGATTTCTTTAGAAACGGCATATTTGGTCCACAGTGTGAATATTTTCGGCAGAGTAAAGGAATCAGTAGGTTGTGACAATAGAGGCTGTGACACACTTGAGTAGGTTGTGAACTGTCATGGGACTTAGTCTTTGCACCAACTGCTGCCTCAGAACCTTTGCTCATTTAGTCATTCTATAAACACCAACTGAATACCTCCTGCCAATAAAGTCCTGTTCTGTTCACTGGAGGCACCAAAGCAAACCAATGTGATACCTATCTTATGTCACTCACATTTCATCATAGGTCTGAGAAAGACAACAGTAATGCATTTATCAATTCATTTCAGACAGTGCTAAGTACTATGGGGGGAAAATGAAAATCTGTTAGGGTAGATTTGAAGTGGCATTGCTGTCAATGCTCTTGACCATTATCTTGAAGCTTATTTAAAAATAAATGAGACCCTTGAGCTAACTTTGTAAATACTCGGTGATGAAGGGCAGCACCTGCAGCACCAGTCCTTGCAAGACATTTCACATTCGGAGGAATCAGCATACTTCCATATCCTATCTGGTGAGATTCATTCTTTCTTTGGAGAGTTTCATCAATAGAACTAAAGAGCTGAAGTAGAACCAGGCTCTAAAATCTGAGCAAATGGCCTTTGCATGCCTGAACACTGACACAGCTATAAAATCCTCCTGTCAAAGTCATACTAGATATCTGCTGGAATAATGAAAACGTGGATCGATGAAGCATCAGATTGTCTGAACAACAATGGCAGGAAAATGATAAATAGAGACATAAAGACTTTTGAAATTTGATATTGTCCTCTCTCCATAATTCAAGATTTCCAGTTCTCCACGATGTCAAGAGTCTAACAATTTTTCCCCTAGATCTGTGACTTTTGAGTATATGTGGATCCTTCCTGGATGTATTCTAACAGCTCTACTAGGTACATTTTGGACCATGGGACAAATTTTAGACTCTCAGCCTCATATTTAAATGTGACAATAAAGAAAGACTGGTCATTTATGAAGAAATCAATATCTTTTCTAATAGTCCACAAGGGGAAAAAAAACACCCTCCACAACTTTATGTGACCTAAATCTGAATGTAGTTTGAAGACAATTTTTCTGGCTGCACTGAAGTTTTTGGAAAGGTGATATCTCATAGCTTGCCACATTTGTCAGTAGTATGGTGTTTCTTCGGAAGACCATTGTGGAAAGGGAGATGAGCCAAATCAATCCAACTCTAGGACTTGGAGTCCAATGTAGTGTCTTATCTCTTCCTTTACACACAATAGACAGATTTGATTAAAATATTTTCTTAAGTAGGGAAAACTGCAAGGTATTTCAAATCTGTCAAACCCAAAGTATTGACAGGTTTTCACTGATTTCCATGACACTTTAAGGAGTCTAATTCCACTTTGCCACTAATCTACCAACTTATGGGGTCTCAGATCCAAAGCTTTTTCAAAAAGCTAGATAGATATGTGGTATCTGTTAGCTCAGAATACCTTTGAACTTGGAACTCATTTTATCTTTGAAGTAAGATTAAAACTTCACTTCCTTATTTATTGTCATCATTTATTAATAGAAGGTTATCCTTTAATTTATCCTTCAGTGTCACAGGGCCAGTCACGTCATCTTTTACTACCCTCACTGAAAATTAACAAAGTTTTGTGAAAGACTAAAAAATACCTTTTTGCTTTTATATTTTATACCACAAAAGACATGATTAAAATTTGAGGAGTACCCAAATAATATTAATAATGCATTTTCTTTTATCCAAAGCAAATGCACTTTGCTCCTAAGAGATTTTTAATACATTGCTATTTTCTTGAAGTGAAAGGTGGGAGATGAAAGAATTTAATGAAAGATACATATTTGACTTGTGATTATAAAGTAATTGCTATACTAATTTTGAGTTTATGTGGAGATACTGGGTTTTGAAGTAAATGAAAAGCAAATTATATTTCTGTCCAAACACTCAAAGTTGCCCCTTTGTTACAGAGAATCTGCTAGGCCATGAAAATAGCTAAGCCACATTACAGAATCTTGCCTATATACTAGATCTGCATTCGTCTAACAACTTTCAAAACTTCGATTGTCACAAAACTTTTACAGACAATCTTAAAGTGCCCTTACCTACCTCATCTTCTCCTTCCACCCATCAAGGAATAGTTAAATTTGATCATTACTGGATGACCCAGTAGACAGCTTTGCAGGCAGACATGGGACATGCCTGCTTTTTGAAGGTTTCTGCCCCCTTATGTTGTCTTACTCTGAGGGAGCTGGTGGTTACATGGCTCCGGGACAGCATCTGCTTTGTGAGGTTTCTGTCCACAAAGATCAGAAGCTGTTTGATGAGCCAAGACTGTCTTCCCACTGAGGCACTGTCCTCTAAATATACTTACTTTGCTCGGAGGGAGGTAATAATACCTCGGGGAAGTGAGATTGGAAGATAAGTGCAGGAGAGAGATGGGACAAAATTGAAAATTCAAATCCAGCTTAGTCTACGGACCACTCTGGGGTTTTCAATGGAAGCTGCAGCAAACTGTGAACATGTGTTTACCAGGCATCTGTCCTGTCTGTTTTCTGTCCTGGGTTGTGCAAGAGCAAAGATGGAGAAGAAGGTAGGAGAATTGTCAAGGTTTCTTGATGCTGGTTTATACCTCTAAGGGATTTCTTGCTAAGGTTCTGGGGCTGTGCCCTTCATTTTCCCAAACAGTGGTTTACAGTGAGAGAGTAGAACAGGCTCAGAATTTCAAGGGTGCTTAGTTAGTTGGAATGGAGTATAGGAGAAGCTTGTTTTCCATGTAAGCTAGAAGCAAGGAACCATCAACCATTTAGACTCTCAGCTCTCTGGCTGCTGTATCTTTTTTTTCTCTTGGATTGTTTTAAAAAATAGAGATTTTGAAGACTTGTTTCTTCTGGCCCCTGCTCTATGAAAGATGAGCAAAAAGCATGATAATAACCCATGAAGCTACAAAAATTCCTAATTCCAGTGACTTTAAATCACACACATCTGTAAGAACAAAAACTCTGTAATGAGGAGTCACTTGCAGATGTGAAAGAATGGTTATGACTTGCCAATCTAACCCAAGGTGTAATGTGGAACCACAGCTTAGTGACTTCAAGGAAATGTCTGTCCCCTCAAGTGGTGACAATTTAGTATGTGACATTAGAAAATCCTTGGAAGGAAATCCTGGATTATAGATTATGGTGTTTTGTCACTGTGACCACATGCCTGAGATACACTATGAGGTCTTGGTCTGTGGTCAGTTGATTTCATTTGTTTTAAGTCCATAGTAAGTAATCCAGGCACAGAAAACCAAATATCTCACATTCTTACCAAATATGGAGCTATAGTGTCCTTCCCTGGTGGGCAAGGGCAGTGGGAAGTCTATCTCTTTTAGCAGAGAAATACCAGGCACCTGCAAAGGTACAGAAGTCAAGGAGGGTGATGATATGGAGCTGACATTATTGACCTTCAGACTCTGGGCACTTAATTACAGCCAAGAACACAGCTTAGAAATGGCTCCTATAGTTCTTCTAAATGTGACCGGCACTAAGATCGATGTTTCACAGAATAGAATAGAGATCTTGGCACTAGGCGATGCCAGCCAATTCTGGAATTTAAATTACTTCAGAATCTTCAAAGCCATGAAATAAGAAAATACAATGGATGCATGTCTCTTTATAAGCTATGAATTTTCATAATAACCCTAAAGCTTCAAACAAGACTTAAACATAATCACAGGTAAACCTTAAAAAAATCAAGCAGGAACCACGAGCCAAGTTTCCCACAGACTAGACTCATCTTGTTCGTATTCAAAGGCAACTTCTCTCTTTTATTAACAGATTGGCCAACCTACTCAACCTAACTAGGAAAACCACTCTGCAACTCCCTAAATGCCAAAATTACTCTCATCTGAAGTCCTATAGTTTAGCTTTAGCCATACTTAATGAAATATATAAACACATTTTTAAATGAATCTTTAAATCCCATTAATGCTTTTAACCCAGCTCTTATACACAGGTGCTCTCATAAATGGCTTTCTAATTACCAAGTTGAGATCATATTTTGCATTTCCTTCTCTTTTTAATTTGACAGTGTACATGCTTTATGCCATTCTCTAAGTCAAAGCTTCAAAATAATGGTTTTGAGGTAAAGACATTTCAATATATTTCTCACAAATGTTTTGGGTGGAAAATGTCACTCATTGTAACACAAGGAACCGAGACATCTTCCCAAGAACACACAGCCCCTGAGTTTTACAAGAGTTAGCCAACAGAAGCAAAACTAGGTTGGAAGGGATGAGAAGACTGGAGTAGATTTTTGGTTCACACACACCATCGGCATACAGTTCTGTTCTGCCCAGCACTTCAGTAAAGAAATGGATGCTATCATGAAAGTCACCATGCTGAAACCAGAGGTAAAGACCAGTGAAAGACAGAGTTGATACCAATTTGAGATATTTCCCAAAGCATTTTGCTGTGGCAGGCTGCAAGATGAATTCTCATAGGTCAGAGAGGTTTCCTGACCTGGTTTCTGTTCATTGTTTGTACAAGTCATGTAGAATGCAGTCCATGCTCTAGGAATAACACAGGTACCAGGTTGGAACCATTTAGGACCACCAAATAACAGGGTTCAAAAATAAGTAAAACAGCTGAAATATCCAACAGTCTGGTCTAACCTGGGATGCTCTGTCTCCTCACAGCCAATGCTCCATCAGGCGGCTTTGTCTGGCTGGCAGATTTAGTGTAGGGACTCTCATCTGCAACGGTACAATGAAGGGTTTGGTTAATTTCCATCCACTGTCCAGCGAAGTGAAGACCTGTAATGGATCACAATCCTTCCAGAAAGAAGTAGTGAAGGGCAGAAAGAAGAGTGGGTGACCTGAGCCCTACATTTGGGTGAGCTTTAGGATGAGTGGATGTTCCGAACATCAGTGTCGTTTTGAGAAAGAGGGACACAATTCTCGGGCACCTCTCATAGGGTAAGGATGGAAAACTAAAATGTACATGGAAACATTTTAAAATGGTAGGAAGTGTGCTCATAGGCACGTCAATCTTTTGCCTGTTGTCTATACCCACCAATAAGCAGTGGATAGGTGTAACAGGAAGATGAAGACTGAACTAAATGGCTCAGTGTACACTAAGAATAACCAGGAGGAAGAACAAAGGAAAGGAGAGGAAATGCAGTATTACAGATAAGCAGATGAAAGAGTGTTAGTGCCGCAAGAGAAGAAAGACAACAGTTAGTAGGCTCTTCTTGGGAACACGAGCCAGCATTCAGGGTAAAGCAGAGGGGTGGGGTCATTCCAGAGGTAAGATTGGAGAGGCTGAGAAATGGAAAAGAATGATGGCTTGGCAAAAGAAGATATGTATTGCAAAGAGCTATAAGTTCTTTTTAAGAATGAGTTAAAAACAACGCGCAGAGCAATACAGAGAGCAACTGAGAAGACAGAGGGTCCAAAGCGTCATACGTGTGTAAGCAATAGGAGAGAGGCGGAGTGATGGAAACACGAGGTGTCAAGATCATGGAGGAGATGGGTCCACCAAATTCTAAATAAAGTGAGTTGTTTAGGATTTCTTCTGAGTTGGGAAGTAGTGACATGGGAAGGCTCATGTTAGTGTTAGAATAGTAAGGGACAATGCTTCCAAGTTTGGGTTGAAACATCTACATGAATAGTAAAGGAGATGACAGGTGAAAAACCTTAAGCATTTCAAGAACAGGATTGATACGGCTTGAGGAAAAACAAAATCATGTAAATAATTACCCAGCACATTCAGTCAAGCTGGGTGACACAATGACACATCATCCCACACTGGAACATGTTTGTTATTGCTGTCATTGTTTTAACTGGAAATCATTAAAAGATTAAGAGGAATCATATTGCACATGGCAAACAATTATATATAACAAGCATTTAATCGAGTAGCAAGGTTTAGCATCTGAGGGCTGAGCCCATTCATTCTGGAAACTCCATCATGTGTGTTTCCACAGCAAAGCACTCATTTCTTCTCTAGGATGCGATTTTCCCAGAAACGAATCACCATGCCTCCATAAAAACGAGCAACGTCTTTATAAGCAACAACAAAAGGAAAGATTAACACTGCTGTAACAGCAATTAACTTGAAAAACGGCGGGCATGTCGTTTCATGTTCATATGCCATTTATCACACGATTCTGTTCATTTTTTCCAACCATAATAAAGCTATTGGCTGCAGGGTCCCGAAACAGTCTACATCATTTATGCTGCTTCTTAAGTAGCATTTTAGGTCTTGGACTCTTGTCATTGCAAACACCATGTTGAGGACAATTAAAATATTACCAAACAAATCTAAGTATGCAATCATGAACCCACTACGCAAGTGAGTTTCCCACATTGTTAGTTTAATAAGCAGACATTTGCTTCCTACAACTGTCATTCAAACAGGCTGGTTCTGCACAAAAATCTGAGGTTCACAAGACTGTTTCAAAACTATTTCTTTTCCTTAGCCACAGCTTGGCAAGTGTTCATTCATAAAGACAGGTCCATTATGCACCCAGGTTCAGGAACTGCAACTTAAGGCTTCTCCAGTTTCCAACTTGTCAGTAAGGCCCTGGGTTGAACGCAGTGTTTGGGTTCCTTAAAGGACAAGAGAGGTTTTCCCAGGGGACTTTTGGGTTACCTTCTCTTTATGCTCTATTTTAAGGAGACCATTTAAAAACAAGAAAGAAATTCACCTAGTTTGCATTATTGAAGTGAACAATTCTGTTATATTTGTTTTCTCATTTATATTTGAAAGTGATTTCCTCAATTTAGGGCTGAGATCCTCTAGTAAAAAGGTTGAAACTGAATTATAGATGGCCACCTGACCAGCATCTGTATCACCATTCCCTACTCACACCCTCCTCCCAGAATCAAACATGCTCTTCCTAGCACACGGGAAAGAAAATGCTTATCTAGAAGCAAAAGCTGTGTTGGCCAAATAATCATATGGGAGAAGTTCAGTTTTAGCTAAGAATAGCCTGCTAAAGATGCTGCAATGCCTGATGGGACTGAGGCTGGCTACACTTGTCATGAGCACCTTGAAGGGCTGAGTAGCAGTGAAGCCTGGTACAGCTTAATGCAGCTCCTGGGAGAGTCGGAGAGAAGTTGGCTCTTCACTTTAAATTTATGAGAGGCACTGCAGACCCTCAGCTACCCAACACAGGATGGAGCTCAGCTGTCTTGAGGTGATTTAGTAAAACTCAGCTCTTGACTCAAACTTTGTATGCAAATGAAAGTGAGAAAAGGCACAGGACCATCCGTAGTTGACACTCCACCTTAAGACGCCTAAGGGTAAGAAAGATGGGGATCATTTTGTTTTGATCTATTTCACTGAAAAAGGCCCAAATTACTTATTATATTATCTGTATGATTGTTCTGCTTGTGTGTATATTTGGGCACCATGTTTGCCTGCCTGGTGCCTTTGGAGGCCTGAAGAGGCCATTGGATCCCCCAGGACTGCAGTTACAGGTGGTTGTGAACTGCCATGTGAGTGCTGGGAATTGAACTTGAGTTTTCTGGAAGAGCGATAAGCATTCTTAACTGATGATCTAACTCCTCAGCCTCCTATTTTACTTTTAATTGTGTGTGTGTGTGTGGGGGGGGGGACAAGTGCAGGTTCCCACAGAAAGCAGAAGAGGTTTTGAAAGCCTAGAGTGGGAATTGCAGACAGATGTGAGCCACCTTATGTGGGTGCTGCAAACTGAGCCCCAGGACCTCTACAAAAGCTGTGTGCTCTCTTAACTGCTGAGCCATCTCGCCAGTCCATGAGTTTTAAATCCTTTACTTAAAAGCCTGGGAACCAATGGAGGTTTCTATTATAGTCCCTCCCATGTGTCTTTTAAGCTGATTTGTATATTTATCCATGGAATTTCATATGTACATGACACTGTAAACAGGTTTGAAAATTTTATGGTTAATACTGAAGCCCAGAGAGATTTCTAGAAGGAAACACCCTTAAAGTGGGCCCACACTTTAAAAAAGAAAATCCTTTTTCTTCTTGGATAGACAAAATTTTACAGGCCAACAATAAGCCCACAGGCTGTTGTATCAGGCAAGGATGTGATGTGTCTTGGCACAGGAAACCAACAGACATTGCATGGTGTGGGCACCTCCCATGGAAGCCTGTGAAGTACATCATGCTTTCCTACTGTGAAGATGCGATGCGTGGTTGTGCCATTCTCCTTCCTCATCTGTTTGCATAAAGTGAAGAAGAATATTTAACAATGACATGATAGAACCAAATGATAGGCTCAGCACTACATTTAAAATGTGTGTGTGTGCGCGCGCGCGCAAAAGCAAGCACAGGCACCACATATGTGTGGGTGCCCATAGAGGCCACAAGAGTGCTATGGATTTCTTGGAGGTGGAGTTACAAGAGGTGGTGAGCTACCTGACATAGGTGCTGGAAAACAAACTCCCTTCATTTACAAGAGGAATATGTGCTCTTCATTGCTGACGTATTTTTCCAGCCCCTTGGCGTTACCTTTGAATCCTAAAAATCTAAAAGGAATGCCAATACAATTCATTGCCTCCCAGTATGGCCCTAAAAGAGCTTTGGATTTCTTTTAAGATACATATTAATACTTTCACTTTGTTTCATGAGAGAGGCAACCACTTTCATACACAGAAAAGAATTAAACATAGATCAAATAATGAAATATCTGAGTATATAGCATTTCTAGAACAATACAGCATATAGTAATATTTTGCTGATAGGTTATGGTATTATAAAGAAGTATATAAGCATATCCCCACCCACCTCTATTTTTCTTTCTCCTACTTTATTTTGGGGGGAAGGGGACCTATGTTTATAAACTATCCCTGTTAAAGTTTTTTCATAACCCAACAACCATTAAGAACTGACAACCTAATGTGACAGTCTAAACTACTTTTTCATTTTGTGGTTAGTACCATGGTATGTTAGAAATATGCAACTATTTAGAAAATTGGCATTGAATATATGTTTTTTTCTTTCACATTTATTCAGATTTCTTAGAATGATTTGCCAAAAAATATTTATTTGTTAATTTATTTACTTACTGAAACAAGGTCTTTTGTAGCCCACATTACTTTTGAATTTGCTAGGCCATTAAGATGGGTTTGAACTCTTGATCTTTCTGCTTCACCACCTAAGTACTGGGATTATAGATGTGCAACACCACACCCAGAAAACAAATCTTTAAAGTCATTCCTTTGAATAAGTGTTGTGACTTCAAGTCACACTCCACTTTGTCACTGACGGTAGATCCCATTAACAAGAGACCCTCTCAAAAGTCACCTTGGAGGTCAAACAGACATTCAGCTGGTGAGCCACTGCTCACTGTAACAAATGCTGAAAGTGACAATAAATGTTGTCTAGGGTGTTGGAACAGCCTGCCTTCTCTGATGGCATCTCTGTAGCTAGTTAATCACTGTCACATGTGAGGGCCTCCCACTGTCATAGGGATTTGAATATTGGTAATAGCCAAGAACTGCAAGAGTCCTTGGAGTCATTCTGGGATGCTGGGGGATATGCCCTCTTTTGACACAGAGAATAAACATGGCGACAGAAGTTCAAAAGGGACTTAGCTAAGTATACACTTAGAAGAAGAACAAAGCAGGGTAGGGAGACCACCTGCCCCCTCCCCCCATGTATTAGTTTCAGTTACTTTTGTTTTGATGAAACACCATGACAAACAATTTGGGGAAGAAAGGGCTTATCTGACTTATGCTTTTATGCCACTGTTATCAATGAAAGA